ATGGAAAGCTAATCAGGGGGAAAAAAAAAAGGCAAGAATGAACTGCTAACACAAGCAATAACAGATGACTCTGAAATGCATTTGCTGACTCACAGGCTACATTCTGTATGATTCCACTTATATAACACTACTGAAAAGGTAAAACTATGGAAACAAAAAACAGATCATCAGTTTCCAGGGGAAAAGTGTTGGCAGAGGAAATTAATTACAAAGGAATATGAAACAACTTTTTAGTATGATGGAAATGTTCTGTATCTGCTTGTGGTGATGGATGAACAACCACAGTATCTTTCAAAATTCATAGAATTTTACATTCGAAAAAGGTAAAAATTTTTGTATGTAAGCTATACCTCCATAAACCCCAACAAATTATGCTTTTGTAGTAAGGAAAGATTTGTTAAAACAGAAGTCAAAAGACATATGAAATTAAATACTTAAAAGGTTAATAATTTTTTTACCATATCAAGACCTTTTCAAAATATAATAACATGAACAGATGAAGTTTAATGGCTGTTACTGGTCATCTTGACATTCCTAAGTTCCCTTGGAATCCTTTCTCATGGCTTTTCTGGAGGTAGCCGTAAGGTTTCCTGGAAGCACTGAGAATACAGCTTGGATACGGCAGATTCCAGAACCAGATATAAGATGGACCTCTTTAGGTTTCCTGTCCTCTGGAGGCAGCCACAATTGAAAAGTAAGAGAGCTGAGCAGTAGGAATTGAACTGGGGCATGCTTCCTTGGAAGAAAACGGTATCTATGGTCTAAAGTATCCTGGAAGCCGGTGTGGGAGTCTTGGCTAGAATGGCATCATCCCTGCATGAAGAGTGCAGTATCTTCTCAGTGCTATGTGGAGACCACTCCAACAGGACACCACAGGATAGTGAGAAGCAAAGGAAATAGCAAACTAAGGAGGTGTGGGGGCTGGATTTAACCCTTTGAGAGCCGTGCTGAGACTCTGGAGTTCTTGGGAGAATTCTATAAGTAGAGTCAAGCTCAAAGGTGGGAGATTCTGAACTAATGCTAATTAGGCAGATATACAAAAAAAAGGAAAAATATGAAACATTACTATACTTATATTCTGAGTTTATGAAACATTTCCTACTAAATGTTACCACAAATGCATGACTATATGGAAATGTTTTACTTTACGTATCTCCATTCTTCCACATTTTAAGAATTTGTATTATTTTTCTACTGCTATCATAATTACCACAACCTTGGTGGCTTAAACAACACAAATTTATTATTGCAGTAAGTTGGAACTAATATGGGTGTGCCAGACTAAAGTCAAGTCATTGGTAGGAGTGTGTTCCTTTCTGGAGACTGGGGCGGGGCGGGGGGGCGGTCCATTTCCTGGCTCATTCACCTTCTTTGCAGAATTCAGTTCCTTACAGTGCAGAACTAAGATCCCTGTTTCCTTTCCAGCTGTCAGCCAGGGCCATTCCCAGCATCTAGAGGCACCCACATTCTTGGCTTGTAGCTTCCTTTTCCCTTCTTCAAGCCAGCAATGGCAGGTTGAATCCTCCTAACACACTCTTCTCTTTCTCTTCTACCTCACTTTTCAAGATTGATGTGATTAGACTCTAGGGCCCTCCCAAATAAACCATATATTCCCAACTCAAGGTCCTTAACCTTGATCACATCCACAGTGCATTTTATCCTATCATGTAATATATGCACGGGGGAATAGGATGAGAAGATTTGAGGGGACCCATTATTCTGCCCTCTATAGATTGTTTCAGGTTTTTTAATACTTAAAATATTATCTTTTGAACTCCAATGAACAAATGCTTGTTTTAATTGATTCCTACAGACCTAAAACTCTTACTTCAAAGAGCAGAGGAATCATTTTATTTTTCATACTTTGCCTTTAAAATATAGGCTGTGTTGGAGAATATGTGGAGAAAAGGAAAGCCTTGCACTGTTGGTAGGAATATAAATTATTATAGCCATTATGGAAAACACTATGGAGCTTTCTCAAACAATTAAAAATAGAACTACCATATGATCCAGTAATCCCACTACTGGGTATATATCCAAAAGAGAAGAAACCAATATGTTGAGGAGACATTGCATTCCCATATTCATTCCAGTGTTATTCACAATAACCAAGATATGGAATCAACTAAAGAGTCCATCAACCAATGAAAGGATGAAGAAATGCAGTCTATACACACAATGAAATACTACCAAAAGAAGGAAATCTCTCATTTGTGACAGCCTGGATAAACCTGGAGGACAGTATGTTAAATGAAATAAGCCACGCACCCAAAAAAACAAAACACTGTTTCACTTATTTGTGGAATTAAGAGTTGAACTCATAGGAGAGAGTAGTTACCAAAGGTGTAGGGTTGGGGAGATATTGGTCCCAGGACACAAAATTTCAACTAGGAGAAATAACTTCAAGAAATCTATTATGCATCTAGTGACTATAATTAGTATCAGTGTGTTATATTTTTTAAAATATCTGAAATAGATTTTAAGTGGTTTCACTTTAAAAAAAATGCAAGGCAATGCATGTTAATCAGCTCTATTTAGCCATTCAGCAATGTATACATATTTCAGAACATGTTGTACACCTTAAATTTAATATATACTTTACATATATATGTATATATATGTATATTCATGTAGTCTTCAAAATGCCTTGGCTTTCTTATCAGAAAAAAAAAATGCCAAACTTTTTAGTACAGCATTTGCCCTGCCATTACTAATATTTTCTTCAGTCCATTTCCTTATTTGACTTGGGGTTGATGAAGTAGTTTCGATAAACCTCCTGAAATAGATGCTAAGTGTTGTGTGTATGCTTATTTTTCTTTTAGGAAAAAGGTCCAGAGCTTGAATCAGATTTTATGTAAGCATTTGTAAATATGGCCATGTGCTGGCATAACATTTGTCAATCACAAACTACCTATATGGTGGTGGATCCCATAAGATCAGCAGGGAGCCAATTGCCTAATGGCATTTTAGCCATTCTAATGTCATAGAACAATGTATTTGTGGTGATGCTGGGGTGAACAAACCTACTGCACTGCCTATTGTATAAAAATATAGAACATACAATTATGCACAGTACTTAGTACTTAATAATGATAATGACTTACTGGTTTATGAATTTACTGCACTCTACTTTTGCCTATAAAATGCACTGTTTAACATACCTTATATATAATCAGATATGATAAATTATGGTATAATGGTGTATTAAGAATTGTAATGCAAAAATAAATAAATAAATAAAATGCACTATTTCTATTGATTTAAAAAATAATAATTTAGTATAAAACAGGATGCCATGAGGGAAAAGGATAGATTTTGGATCTCCTATGTTCCTGATCCAAACTAAAACTGCTTAAGTGGATGATGACACTTATGCAGGCGGAGAGGGAGGAAGAGGAGAAGAAATAGCGAAGGATAGCTAATTTGGTGTTGAACCACTGAGATGAGAACAATTCAGGATGTGTTAAACTTGATGAACTTTCAGGATGGTCCAAAAAATCAAAAGGAGAAGGAAAGTCATCTTAACTAAGGGAACCTAAAAAAGAAAAGATAGTCACATTATTCATAATCAAATTCAAGTATGGATATGGTAAGGGTTACCATAAACTGTGTGGATGAACAACAAATAACAGAGCTACCGCTGAGCCATAGCCACAGCCCCAATATACACAGTTTTTAAGCTGTTTTTTACCTTTTACCTGGCTAGCTTTCGAATCCCATCACATACCTCCCCATTGCTGTTAATAACCTACTATGTAGCCTCCAATGTTTTAAAACATCGGAGATATAGCATATATTCAGTAAAACTCATCTATTTTAAATGTATAGTTTGAAGCTTGACATTTTAATAGATTAAGCCACATAGATAATTTATGTAGCACTTTCATCAAGAAAGTGTATGCATTAAGTTATTATAAATACATAAACTTTTGCCAATAGTCCAATACTGCAATCCAACACTGGCCTCAGTATTTCCAAAAGACTAAGTATGAACACGTTCATTTCAGATGATTGTTTCTTGGGGGTTCCACACAAGCAGTTTGTGGAGCCTAGGTAATATTCAGTCTTTCTGGAAAGACCCAACGTTGGTACAGATCAAATATGCCTCAAAGATATCCAACAATAAATGCCTCGGTGCAAGTCCAAGTGGCCAGGCTACAAGTCTAAGTAAAGAAACTCCAGCTTTGACAGAAATAGTCTGGGTCTATGATGAATAGCAAATTGGTCACACTAAAAATGGAGATGTCACTGTTTCTTTAGTGGTTTCCTTTAAATATTAGCAATTATGTGCACAGGACATGACACAAAGAAGTACTCAATTAGAGATAGCTGCATTATTTTTCCTTTGCCTAAATAGGACTCTGGAATATACAAGGCTATCACAAAATAGCTACTGTATAACAAATGGATGGATGAATGAAATTATGACCAGAGTCAACTGTTTCCTATGCACTGTTTCCTGACTGAACTTCTTTCAACTCTTCATTCCAAGCTGCATTCACATTTCTCACTTAGTGTCGGATATAGAGCCAGACTGACTGTGCTCGATTCTTGGCTCCATTATTCATTGTTTTTGGGAAACTCACACAAACTACTCAACTTTCTCAACTACAACATGGAGCTAACAGTAGGGCTTCTATAAGGACTAAAAAGTTAATACAAAAAAAAAAAAAATAGACTGGCTTCCATATAATAAACATTCAATAAACATTAGTAATTGCTTAATATAATATATAACACATTTTACAAATTATTTGGTTTTGCAGCCAAATTTGCAGTTCTATGAAAGCAAGAACTTATTTTTGTTCACCACCTAAAACTATGTTCTTGAATGAATGCCAACTACTCAGTTGGTGAAAGACCAGGGCTTTGCATATAATAAGCACACAATGGATGTTTGTTGACAGAGGAATAAATGGAGATGATAAGATGGTTAAGTGATTCAGAAAACTCACAGTACTATATCCAAAAGGTAAAAAAGAGATTTAGGAACATTTCAGTTTATCTTTATAAATTTATTTAAAAAATAAAATTATAAACAAAATACAGAAAAATATTGACACCTGTAATAACAAGGAAATAACTAATCCGTAGGGCAGCTTGTTGGAGAACAAAATCATGAGTTTATAAAGAAATCTTTATTGTGCAAAGGAGAAATATAATATCTAAGATTCATTTACAGTGGGCATTTGGCATTGACAAAAAAGTATTTCTATGTATACATTCAACATTTTGCAGCATATTTACTTCAATTTACATTTCCAAATTCTATGCCAAATACACTCCAACTCACTACCAAAAATTTCTAAGATACTACTAAAATTCTGTATATTTGGTAGGAGTGCAATATTATTTTACTGGAAAATAATTTTTATGTTCCTACTAGATCAATTATATTTTTACTACTTCAATAAAATTCACAAATGTTTTCTTCCCACCTGAAGCCAAGCCTCTTCAGACAAATTAAATACTAACTCAAATGTGGCCAGTTATGAAATTATATTATAAATTTTCCTCCCTCATTGGAGATATTAAAACTTTTCAATGAAAAGATATCAGTTTTAATAAATTACTTTTTCTTTTACAGTAGTTAGAGGTATTTCAGAATCAAGTTGCAGAATTTTAACTTCTTTCTAAAAGACGGCTGAAAGCACTTACCCACTGAGAGTTATTACCAAATTCCTCATCAAAATAAAACACATTAAGAAATCCACACAGTAGTTTTCTGAAAACTCTTCTCCATTTTCCCCACATTTCTCAAATCTATTATTTATTCATTAATAATATGTGACTTTCTTGCTTTGTTTTTCTAAATTATATAAGGTAGCTATTCTAGTTTCCTGATAATCCTCCCATTTCATTTTTAAATTATGATTTTATTAAAATCAACATAAATTACAAGTAACTTTCATTTTTGCTACAGTTCACTTAGAAATGTATTTTAACTTATTGAAGGCAGAATATTTCATGGGGCCTGTCTATATAGACTAGGCAAACAAAACATCAAGATTAGAAATTCTCATGCCTCCAACAGATTCCAGACAAAAATCTACGCATAATGTATTAATTCTTTCTTAACTATTTCAAATTAATTTCATTTCTTTTTGTCTAAGACGATAATGACAAAACAATGGAGATAGATAAATCTCAATGAGGTGAGCTCTTTCTTTCCTATTTTCTTCAGGTTGTAACATCTTCTCCAGTACATAATGGCTGGCAGTTGGCAGTAGGTTGCTGAGTTGATACCACTTCTAAGTCTGATTCACGAACAAAAATCACTGCATCACCACTTACATTTATAAGACACTGTGCCTATAAGAACAACAAACAGGACCAGTTCAGTTACACTCAACAATACTCTCACAGGCTTCTGTTATACAGGGATAGTGTTGTACAGCCAAAACAAAACAAAACAAAATGCAGACTTACAAATCACTAGGAAAAACAACTAACTCAATAAACAAATAAGAAAAGAATGAGAGAACAATTCACAGGAAAAGAAATTCAAAAAGCCTAGAAACATATGAAAAAATACTTAGATACATATGTTCGTTAAAAAAAGTAGCGTTTCATTATTACCACGTGTTGGCAAAGACATGGGGCAATATAAACACATTTAACATTTCTGGTGGGTGGGGGTTGTGAAACCACTTTGGAAAGGAGTTTGATGATATGAAGCAAAAAAAAGTAGACACTTTGTGATCTGCCAGTCTTACTCTCATTTATGTGTGAGTATATAAGATACACATACTGTATATACATTTTTTTTCATGCACTAGAAAAAATCTTGAACATGTTACTAAAAAATTACTATGATTTTCACTGCAGTGTGTTTGTAATAAAAAAAAAAAAATAGAAAACAGCCTAAATAAATAATGGAATATAAATGAACTAAAAGTTCTAAGAACTTAGGATAGAACTCATAAATGTCATGATGAATTAATGAAAATAAATAGAATGTGGAAAATATTCTCAAAGGAGGGAAACTTCTGCAATATCTAAGAAAACTACAAACAAAGGCCTATGTTTTGACCTACCAATTTCATTTTAAGGAATTTTTCCTACAGATACATTCAGACCTCTGCTAATCACTTCTGTTTCATATTCGTTACAGTGCTGTATGTATTAGCATAACATTTATTAGAAACACCCTAAAAATTCATCAGTGGGGAACTAGTTAAAGAAATTCTGGTTGATCCATACCATGAAGCATTATGTGGCTATTATAAACAGTGAGGATAATCTTTTTGCCCTTAAATGGAACAATTGCCTAGAAAAATTCAGTGAAAGAACAAGCTGTGGAAAAAGGGCATATCTTTGCTTGAATGTATCTAAAATCTCTCATGTTACATGCTATGAAGTGTTATAGCTCTAGAAGTGATATACAAAAAAAAAAACATGAATAACTTTGGTTGTACAGGGGAAGAAAGTGAGTGGATATAAGACAGGGAGAAATTTTCTGTTTATATTCTTTTAATACCCCTTCTGAATTTTGAATTATGTATTACCTATTTTAAAAATACATTAAGACATTTTAATACAAAATGAGACTATAGTTACATACATATATAATTTTTAAAATATAAAAGCCTACCTAGAAATGACAACAAAATAAGGATGGTCCACTAGGTAGCAAAAAGAAATAGGTCCATAGAGGCTCCCACCATATTTTTAATATTTATTTCTGAAGCTGACTGTCAGGTTAAAAGTGTTTATGTTACACAATTCTCTATACTTTTTAAGGGTATGCAAGATATCACAATAAATTAAAAGTGAATAAAAACTAAATGACATGAAGTATAGCACCCGACATTTGAGCACCTAAGTGACAAGCAGTAATTAACAGTTATCATTCAGGAAGACTGGCTGTGGGAAGGCCCAAAGCATTTGGAATGAAAGAAGTGGGAGTATACTCTAGCTTTTCTATTTAGAGCCTCGTATTGAGCAATGAAATTCTGCAAGCCTCAGTTTTCTCACCTACAGAAGGGAGTTAATAATACCAATGTTACAAAGTGCTAGAAATGCAAAAAAGCACAGTTCATTTGGTGGAAAACTACATAAATCAATACATAGGTTAAGGGCATTGGGAAGAGGTAAAAGGTAAAAACATAAGTCTAAAAAAGTTGGAAGAGTCCAAATTTTGGAAGACCTTGTATGACATACTAATAACCTTAAATTTTATCATGTACTCTCATTAAAGACTTTGTAATATTTAAAAGATAATAGTAACAACTTTTATGGTATTTACTATCCACCAGGCACTTTAGCATATTACATATATTTCCCCAGTTTTTATCCCAATGTTACAGATGAGGAAACTAAGGCACAGAGAAAGATTTTGTTTTGGACAAGTTGATTTTGAAGTACTTGTCAAAGTGATAATTGTGACAAATCGAATAAATCTAATACCAGGAAAAACCTAAAACTACAAATCTCAATCTCAAATACAAAATAATTAAGCAAGAAAGGATCTTTTCAATAGAACTAGGGAAATCCTATTACACTAAATAAAATTATTGTAAAGAAATGTTCAGTTGAACAAGGTTTATTTTTAAGATCTGATAGATGCTTTCTTCATGATCAGATTATATCAGATTGTTTACAACAAATTATTAATCCTAATCAGGATGCCCCTTCTCTGGTTTCTTCTCCTTACAGATGATCTGTCTTGAGGTAGTTCTTAGCGTCTTCTGATTTTTCTACCTCTCTCTTTCTACCTTTTTCTGCTCCACTATATACCCTTTTTACCTATTCTATACAATCTACTTGGCTCCAAATCTGATCAATAAACTGGTCCTGAATATACAACTTCAGTTAAGAAATCTCATTGAGCCCTAAATGCACACTGGCTATCTACCAAAAAATTTCCTAGGATGTTTGATAGGTCCCCTTCCTTCTCTCCCTTCTAACTTTCCTTAGCTATCGCTGAAATTTATCAGAACGTTGTCTTCCAGTCTCACAGCATTACTTTTTCTTCAATATCTATTAATGAAATATGATATACTCCAATAAGAAAAAGATATAAATTGTTGAGAAAGTTAAGTAAATGAAGCACCCTTGAGAAGAAACTGATTGTGAAGAAACTGAAAATAAAGGTGAAATCACTTTCAATGGTCCCCTCTGATGGGCCAGAAATGAGGAGCAATCACCAATAGCCATAAGGAATTTCATCCATCTACCACTGCGTGTCATTCAAATAATATGATTTTTGATGTATGCCAAGAGGAGCACGTTGAGAAGTACTGCCTTTATCACAGCTCATATAGCCATTTACTTAAAAAATAAATCCTTTACAATTTTAAGTGAGTTATCTTAACTCAAAACTGATAAAAAGAGGGGCTGGGATTGTGGCTCAGTGGTAGAGCACTCGCCTATCATGGGCAGGACCCGGTTCGATCCTCAGCACCACATAAAAATAAAGGCATTGTGTTGTGTCCATCTACACTTAAAAAATAAATATTTTAAAAAAATGCAAAAAAAAAACTGATAAAAGAACCTTATTTTATAAATTTAACCTAGTAAGACCCTTTTTATTCCCCATGAACAGAACATTATTTAACAGAAATAAACTAGTATAAACAGAAATAAACTATTATGATATACCCTGCACTGTATGGCAGTTAAAACTGTTCAGCAACACAGGATAAACTAACCTGTACTTTTAGCTCTCTGCAGTCAGACATCACTGTACTCCAAATATCCACCAAGATGATGTTAGAAATAGTAGCTCAGGAGCAGAAGTTCCAAAAATGGTTAAGAATAACTTGTTTCCTGAGATGTGAGAATAGCACCTAAGCTATATATGACCATACTTATTAATAACTTCACTAAACTATGTTTTTAGCATCTAGAATCAAAGAAATCTGAAGAGCATTTTTATTCTGGGAGGGTGATGAGGTCGTTGGCTGGCCATAAGGGAAATTCTCAGGTTTCCCCTAAATCAGAGATTTCTAATTGTATCTCACCTGGTTTTTATTTGGATTCTCCATGAAGACACACTGCTTCATTATATAGGAGACGACAGCATTTCCTCCTAATGCAGCAACGTGAGCCCTCACCATTGCAAACACTTCAGCAATAAAGGCATGGAGGAAACCACTGACTCCTCCTTCCTAAACAACAATGTGCAAAATAATCATATTATTTATATGTATCTAGGAATGTACATAAAATGTCAAAGATTATGTATTAAATCATCCCAAGTTATCCTAATAACAGGCAAAAATTCATAGGATTTACTGTATGGATGAACAAACAAAACTTAATTACAAACATGGCTGGATGAGGATTCACTATCCTTACTTTAAACTTAACTGAAGCTCAGAGAATTTGTAATCTGCCCATGATAAACTATAATCACATAAGTAGTACTGACTGAATCTGTTTTGAACATTATATACTTATACCTAACAGGTACACAAAATAAGTATTCCATAAATATTTGTTAGGGAGTAAAATCCATTAGTTCAGGGAATTTTTTCCATGTTCAAAAAACAAACAAAACAGAAATTAAAGGTCAATCAAAGTTTACACTGTTTTGTCCACCTGTTTTCTAGAAATTCTCCTGGAGATTACTTAAATCTAGGAGGAAATTTCCAATTTTAAATTGGAAGTAAGGGAAAAGCTGAGTACACTGTTAGAAAATCATTTTAATAAATCACATCTTTCTAAAAAGCCAGGGCATTCTACATAGTCCTATAAAGGTCTTGCTTTTTGCAATTAAGGAATTAAGTGAGTTGTTTCAGATTGCCTCCAACTTAATCACAGATCAGTACATTTTTCTGTTGGTCTTATTGGTTTCCTTCTGTCTATTAAGAAATTTTGAAGGTAGAGTACCTATAGAACTTTAATTTTAAAAAGTTTCATTGATATAAGTAAATAATTTATCAGGCTGTGAACAGAACTGTAATACTGTGCTGTAAAGTCTCCATTAAAGAGAAATCTACTATGAAGCAACATTTTTGGGTACAGGAGCTTATGCAGTAGAGAAGATGTAGAAAATAAAGTCTTACAGATTTGCCAGGGGTCATGGTACATAACTGTACGTAATCCCAGTGACTCAGGATGCTGAGGCAGGAGGATTACAAGTTCAAGGCCAGCCTGGACAACTTAGCGAGACCCTGTCTCAAAATAAAATATAAAAAAGTCATGGATGGAGTTGGAGAATATAATGTTAAGTTAGCCAAGCCAAAAAATCCAAATGCCAAATGTTTTCTCTGATTTAAGGATGTGATTCATAATGTGTTTGGGTGGGTGGGGAGGGCATGGGAGGTTAGATGAACTCTAAAGAGGGCAAAGGGAGGAGGCATGGGGGACGAAAGACAGTGGAATGAGATGGACATCATTACCCTAAGTACATGTATGAAGACACGAATGGTGTGACTCTACTTTGTGTACAACGAGAGATATAAAAAAATTGTGCTCTATATGTATAATATGAATTGAAATCCATTCTGCTATCATAATATAACAAATTAAAAGTCTAGTGTTATATAACGCTCAGTGCCAAAGTACCCCTGCATTCAATCCCCAGCAAAGAAAAAAACATTTTTTTTAATATTTAAAAAAATAATTTATCTGGGGCTGGGCTGTACCTCAGTGGCAAAGCACTTGCCTAGCATGTGTAAAGCACTGGGTTCAATCCTCAGCACCACATAAAAATAATTAAAATAAAGGACCATCAACAACTAAAAATATTTTTAAAAAATGTGTGTGTGTGTGTGTGTGTGTGTGTGAGAGAGAGAGAGA